TGGGTGCCGACAGAGGACAAAGGGACCCCACGGGGAGGGGCGGCGACAGTGGGAGCCCGCGCCAGGCCTGGGCTCTGGAAACACACAGGGGGCCAGCCCTTGAGAAATGCCCACCCTCTACACCTCATCCACAGGAAGGGTGGGCAGAGGCTGTTGGCTCAGACGGAGTGGGTCCTCTGTGCTCCTCTCTCATCCCTCCATCGGACACTCCGAAGGACTGTCCCCCCCAGCCCCACGCTGGACCAGGGGTGCAGGTGAAGCGCCTGGGTCCCTGCCCTGAGGACCCCAAGCCACATAGAAAAGAGGTACAGGAGAGTGAGACAGTGAGCACTCCTCCCCCCAGGATAGAGCCTTGTCAGCCCCCAGGCATCCTGGGGAGCCCCAGGAGGGCTTCCTGGAGGCGGAGGCGCCTGTGGACGGAAATTAAGGAAGGCCCTCCGGTACAATAATGGGAACGGAACACCTTTTCAGAGCCCTAAGTGCCTGTCTCATCTAACCTCGCAGCAGAGCCAGGTGTGAGCCAGGTGCAGTTATTCCCGTTTGATAGGCGGGAAGATGGAGATCCAGCGAGGTTAGTAACTTCAACTAGAGAGTAAGTCGCAGCAGGGTTGGGGCCCTCGCCCCTGCTTCCTGGCTCTGATACCCGATGAGTTGGTTGCAAAGGGCCCCACAGGTGCCCAGCAGGGGACCGAGGACGCCATGGGGTCAGATGCCGAATGGGCAAGTGTAAAATCCATCACTCAGCCAGGGCCCAGGCCAAGCAGTGTCATCGGAGGAAGCCCTGAGATGCTATGTGGTCAGTCCCCAGTGGAGTGTCATATTCAAGTAGGTGCTTAATTTTTTTGATGACTTTGTCATGTGTTACTGATTTCCTCCAGGCACTTCCTAGTCACCCACTGACACTCATCACCATCATCCTCCCTTCACGGAGGCTGTCGGACTTGGGTTTTGGTATTGAGGAAACCAGCCATTTATTTGGCTAGGAGTGTACAGCAGGTCAGCATAGGGACGGGGACTAGGGAGTCAGTCCTCCAGCTCTCTAGAGCCAGTGCCAGTGCCGGCTGTTTGGGCGAGAAGGTTTGCCATTGGAGAAGGTGGACAGCGTGGTGGTGGGACAGCTTCCCCGCAGAGCCGAGGCTTAGCTGTGAACCAGCTCGCACACCAGACAGGAGTCTGTCTGCATCATTCTTGTAAACTAGCGACACGTCTTTCTTGCGTTGGATAGAACAGGATGGGAAAAGAGCTTTATTTCATTTCCTAATTGTTCCTGTCCTTAAAAAATAAAAAAAGGCCCTAAGTGTCCACTGTTGGGAAGTTAGTATCAGTACTGAGTGTGTGACTCTCAGGTGAAAAGTGGTGGCAAGCTCTGGAACTAAACTCATTTGGCGGTGGAGTGAAATGGGCCTGAGGCAACTTTAGACCCCATTAAGGCTGTGGATTTTCTCCTGGAAAAAAATGTGCACGAACCCAAAGCTTTGGCTGCAACTACATCCATCCATGGCCGGTCACATGCAAAGATCCATGGTCACATGCAGAGACCCGTGGCTGGTTACATGCAAAGATCCATGGCCATTACATGCCGAGATCATACTGAGATACCGGGAAGCTGATCCATGAATAGGAGGAAGCCCTGCTTGGGGCGTAATAAGGCAGTAGGGCATTAAACCATCTGGTTGAGAAAGCTCTTGGTTTTTTTCTGTTAGGAACTCAGAAAGCATTAGAAAGTAAGCAGGTGTGAACTGAAAGTGATCGTGAAACTCATGCTAAGTAATTTTTAATCCTGTTTTATGACAAGGGAGCAGCTTCCTTAAGCACTGAAACAAGGGGTGTGGATGTGAAAACTCATATATTTTTCTCCTGTTTCTAATGATGTTATGTTAGAAAAGGTTGAATCTTTTCTTTTTCTACCAGTCAACAGTTATTTTTATGAGTAGCAGTTCATTTTCACTTTAAAAACCACAGCTTCTGATATCCACGGATATTTTCTTGGTGGTGAGCTGTTTTAGAAATCTGTTACTTCAGCCAGTTAGATTAAAACTGGACTCCATTAGAAAGGAAAGAGGTCACCCAGAAGCAGTATTAATGACCACTCCCCAACCCATAAAATACACACATTTTAAAATACAAATCTATTTAGAAATTGAACTATAATTGACAGTTAATATTATATTAGTTTTGGGTGTACAACCTAATGATTCAGTATTTGTAAATATTGCAAAATGATCATCACACAGTAAGTCTACTTACCATCCATCACGATGCATAGTTAAAAATGGTTCCTTATGTTAAGAACTTTTAAGATCTCTCTTAGCAACTTTCAGTTACGCAGTACAGCATTATTAACTATGGCCAATAATACTCTTAAATATAAATCTTAAATGCAGGCTTCTGAAGAGCAGGCCTCTTAGAAGGTGGCAGTGAGTAAAGAAAGGTACAGCTGTGCTTTTGGCCACCTGGCTTGTGGGTCCGATTCTGTGACTACATGTCAGTCCTTTTATGGAGGACTTTCCTTCCTTTCTCTTCCATTGGTATTCTGATCACCAGGTATGTTAGTCTGCTGGGCGGCCGTAACAAAGTACCACAGATTGGGGGCTAAAACACATTTATTTCTCTCAGTTGTGGAGGTTGGAAGTCTGACAGCAAGGTGTAAGCAGAGTTGGTTTCTTCTGAGGCCTCTCCCTTGGCTTCTCTCATCTCTCTCTGACCTATCTCTTGTTATAAGAACACCAGTCACGTTGGGTTAGGGCCCACCCTGACAACTCCATGTTAACTAATTATCTCTTTAAAGGCCCTGTCTCAACATACAGTCACATTCTGGGGTAGAGGAGGGAGGGGACTCAGCCCCTAAAGCTAGAGAGTGTAAAACGCCCTTCCGTGGGAGTCGGAGCAGGTTAGGTGAACGTGGGAAAGAAGCAAAGCCCGAGGTTCTCAATACTGTCTCTGCCTCTGCAGATACTGGGCCAACCTCAAGTTGTGGTTCAAGCAGAAGATCAGCAAAGAAGAGTTTGACCTTGAAGCTCACAGACTTCTCACACAGGATAATGGTAAAACAACAACCTGGGGAGCTACCTTACTGTTCTGCAGTTTTCCCCGATTAGCCATAAAGTCTTTTCACTTAAAAGAATAAAATTTTGGTTTTAGTGATATATAGGTCCTTTCAGTAACATGGATATTTAAAATTAAGTGTAGCCCTTGCCCGTGTGACGCAGTGGTTAGAGCATCAACCCGCATTTCAAAGGGTTGCGGGTTTGATTCCAGGTCACAGGCAGGTACCTGGATTGTAGGTTTGATCCCCAGCTCCTGTCGGGCGAGTGCGGGAGGCAACCAGTTGATGTGTCTCTCTCACATCCATGTTTCTCTCTCCCCCCCCTTCCACTCTCTCTAAAAGCAATGGAAAAAATATCCTTGAGTGAGGATTAACAAAAAATAATTAAAATAAAATAAAACTAAGTGTAAAGAATGGCAGAACAGGGGATGTCCAGAATCCTTAAAAGCTAAACTAAATTAATGGTTTCTTTGCATTGCAAGTGTCTTGCATTTGACCCGTGCCACTCTTCCCTTTTTCAGTGCATTCTCATAATGAGTTCCTCCTGGCTATTCTCACACGGTGCCAGATTTTGGTGTCTACACCAGGTAAGGGAGCCGCAATACTGGCTGGGATGTCAGGCAGCGACACCTCGAAACACTGGGCTTTAGCCCCCTGAAACAGACACCTGTGTTTGCAAGCGCAGTGTTCTTTGAAGGGCTCAGAGAAAATGTTATTATGTAGGTACAGATTCTTTTATAGGACCTTGTTAAAGCAGGTGCTCCCCCTCGACTCACATGGACTTTTGGTCTTGACTCCCCACCCAGCTGGATTTCAGACACTGAAGTCATGAGAAGTGGGGAAGGGCAAGGCGTCCAGGATGAAGAAACGGAGATTATCGTCAACGCCAGGATTCATATTTAAGAATGTGATTCTTTTTAGGGGGAGCTGGCAGAGGCCAGCCATTAAATGGGGGCTCCTCGGAGGCCAGCATGCAGCACAACTACCTTAGTAAATCCCAGAAATGTTGTCCCTTTAACTGGAGTCCTCCATGCTCTCTCCACCTGTTTAAGTACCGTCTGGATGGCAGTGAGGGGGGCTGGCCTCATGGCCAGTGGACTGCCTGGGAACTCAGACAGCCCCGTACTTGGCTGCGTGGCTGTCTGAGCAGGCCCCTGCATTTTTGCTCTGTATTGAGCCCATCCTGGGGGTAAGAGGAAGGGTTTGTGTGGATGACTTTTGAGTGGAGACCTTCCACCAGTGTTTTTACAGATCCCTCCTGGTGCCCACTGCACTCACCTTCTCCAAATCCAGATCCTTTCGGATTTCTCCTGGGCAGGTTGACTCTCCCACCTTATTGACCAGCCCGTTATTAGATCCCTTGTGTTGGTCCACTAGCCTGGGTCATGGCCAACACGAATCTGCTCTGTAAGTTGGCACCTTTTAAGCCCATCCTGGAAATTTGTTGAGGTCTCATCTTGCCCGCCACTCACTATCCTTGTCTCTGCTGTGTGTGCCCCTTATTTCCTCCGTTACCATTTTTAGTGGAGTCCTGAGAGAGAGCAGGTGAGTGCGCAGGCTCAGTTCGCCGTCTTGAACTAGAGAGTCCTGGTCTGCTTCTGTAAAACTGCTGCAGTGAGAGTAGCTAAAAATGTAGAAAACAATCTGTCTTCCTAACAGAATAGTTTTGGTTCCAGCTACTAAAAGAAGGGGAGGGAATTTATGATTTTGGTTAGAGAAGTAGAAACAGAAGACCTGAACTTAAATAACGATTATTTACTTACATTACTTGAGTATTCCATACTTTTTTTTAGCCCAAAATGAAAACACTTAGCAGTTACCGACTGTCATTTTCTCTTACGGCCATTTCTTCCTGCCTTCTAGAGGGTGCCGGTTCCTTGCCCTGGACTGGAGGCTCCGCAGCCAAGCCCGGGAAACCGAAGGGAAGGAAGAAGCTGTCTTCTGTTCGCCAGAAATTTGATGTAGGTTGTTCTTCAGCAGATCTGGGTAACGACTGGTTTACATTTTTAAATGAATATTAAGTTACTGGTAATAGAGTTAGAAAAAACGTGGCATCATATGGGGAAAAGGTATTACTGTTTGTGAAGTCAGTGAGGTTTTCAAAGCTTGTGACTTGCAGGTGCCTGAATTTTATAATTCTGGTTTGTTCTTGCATGAATATTAAAGTTCTCATTAGTATTGGTGATTTTTTAGTGATTCAGAAGCTATGCCTGTTCTTTCTCTGAATTGTTTTTCTGGAGCGACTTCTTTTCCACGGTCTGGAGCCTGCAGTCCTCTGGCAGGAGCCTGGCAGCACCTAGCGGGCCCCAAGGCTTTGGGATCAGCAGAGAAGGAAGGCTCAGAGGCATTTAGCTATAAAATTTGTACTCATTTTAAGAGTATCCTTTTTCCAGTTTATATCTAGGGAACAGAGTTTCCCAAAAGTATCCCTTTTATAGATTTTGACTGGGTAGATGGCTTTATGGATTAACGTCAACAAACATTTCTACCTCCGCTCTATGTTTTATATCAGTTATATTCCATCTGGAGGCTTGGGGAGCCGCAGGGAGGCTTACTTGGTTCAGACAGACATATTTGATGTAAAATGCAGATATTTTTCCCTGGAAAATGGAAAAACAGCAAGTGTTGCTTTTTTAATACAGACTTCAAGCATAGTCGCTACAAAACGTACATTGGGCTTAAACAAAAGCTACCAGGGCAGGTCCCCCGCCGATGATGGGGAATATGGTTGGGCTCTCGGAGCCTCCCAGAGGCTGAGGCTTTCCGAGCGGAAAAAGGTTGAGGAAAACGATGTTAAGTAATGAGTATGATGGCGTCTTAGGAAGATCGTGTGGAGAAGTGAAGGTGGAAGGTGACAGTAACTAAGTAATTGCGCAGTGTGATCTTGGACCCTTTGCGCTCAGGTCTGTTCTGGTGTTAGCTGGGCTCCTTGGGGCTTAGCTGAAGGACTGATTCTACACCTGTACTTTGGGAACCTGCTTGCAGAGTGTGTTGAACATGTTCTCACTTGTTTGAATATAGTTTTGAACCTTCTCCCTAATTGTTATTTTTAGCGGAGCCATGTCTCCTGTAATTACCAAGATACTTATTATCAAAATAGTCTGCTGTGCACTACAGCGTCACTCCCCTCAATCCTCGGCTCTGCTGTTCCCATGTCACGCGTGTGAATCTGTGACTGTACGTAGGACACGTTGCTGTTCTGGCTTTTTACCCCTGTGGCACAGTCTTGGTGGCATGGCTGTGGGCTGTGCAGCCCAGGACGTTGGCTACTCCTGTCTGCGTCTCACTACTCACCGCTGGAATGAATAACTTTGAAAGGTTTTCTTACTCAGCACAGATTCCAGCCTCAGAACCCCCTCTCGGGAGCCCAGCAGTTTGTGGCAAAGGATCCCCAAGATGACGATGACTTGAAACTTTGTTCCCACACAATGATGCTGCCCACCCGGGGTCAGCTGGAGGGGAGGATGATCGTGACGGCGTATGAGCACGGCTTGGACAATGTCACTGAGGAGGCTGTGTCGGCTGTGGTCTACGCAGTGGAGGTTGGTTTGCTGGTGGCAGAAACAAGGTTGTGTGTGATGAGCTTGTGTGTGTCTTCGGAAGTTGCTGCTGTGAGAAAAGGTTTGGCATCATTCACGTGGTTTTCTTCTGAGGGGATGAACGTGTCACATTCCAAATAAGTGCCTTCGCTTGACTGACGAAGCTTCCGAAGGGTGATGTGTGTGATCCAGTGTGTGATTTATCAACAGGGGAACAGTTTTCAAGGGGGAAAAATGAGATCAAGAATCCTAAAGATTAACATCATGGGGTGTTGTCATGTCTGGCATCTGGAGAGCGTTAGACTTGGCATCTGCATAGTGGGGTTCTTGTCTCAGACACGTTCGTTCATCTACTTGGTTTTTTCATTTGGTTATCGGACCAAATTATACATGGGGTCTGGCGTGCACAGGTACTGCAGGGGATGTTGGGTCACCTTTCAGTTCTCTGGGTCTCCCTTTCCTCACCTGGACCTCAAAGATTTATAAACATTAAATGAGTTCCATGTGTGGAAATTATAAATTGTACCATGAAGTGCTGATGGGAGGTGATCTTCCTGGTGAAATTGCAACAGCATCCCTGGTCCCGCTAACAGCGGCAGGCTGGGACGAGGCCTGTGTCACACTCTCCAGCCCCCCCTTACCTACTTGGTGCTCATGAAGGTGAAGAGAGAGTAGACACCAAATATTTCGCATATGTCCTGTAGATCTCTCTACTGTTTATGTGGCCTCAGAGAGAGCCAAGTTTCTTTTCATGGAAGGGTCTCAGTGGATTGGGCCCTGTGACCATGAAATCCCAGATCTTGAAACTCTTCATCCCATTTTAAAGCAAGTTTCAAGGTGGGTTGCCTTTTTTGGAAAAAAATATTCACTTATTTTTGTGTTTTTATTTAAAGCCATCTGAAAATCATTTTTGAGAGAGAGGAGCCAGTTTAGGGATGCAGAAGCTTTTAAAGTAAATTCCATGCAGAGCAAGCCCATCTGAAATAGAACGAGCTCCAAGCAGCTCCCTCTTCCCGGCACCCCTCCCCGTCTGGCTCCTTATGAACCTTCACTTGGTCCCAGCACGTGCTGGCCGCTCCCATCCATCCACTGAGTGCCTGTGAGCATGAACGGGTCAGGGGAAGTTTTAGGATTTGCTTTTATGGGACTTCATGCTATTTTTCTCTTTTGTTTTTACAGAATCACCTTAAAGACATATTGGCATCTGTTGTATCGAGAAGGAAAGCGTATCGGTTACGCGACGGTCACTTTAAATATGCCTTTGGCAGTAATGTGACCCCCCAGCCGTACTTGAGGAACAGCGTCGTGGTCTACAACAGCTTAATAGAAAGGTACTGAGTGCCTGGCTTTGCAGCCACCCCTTCTAGTTGGGGACACTGCTCTGTGTAAGGACTGCCAGCAAACGGTCGGGGTTTGTGTTTCCATAAGTCTAAGGTACCCTGGGGAGCCGTATGGTTTTACTTTCTTGTGCCGGAAGTAAAGCTGCATAGTTTGGCTGCTGCGTGGGGTCTAAGTGAGTGTCCTCCATTTTCTGAGACTCCCTTGGGGTAGCCCCTGCCTGGTGGTGGAGTTGGAAGTGTGGCCTGTGTCTGTTGGGTCAGGGCCGGGTTCCTGATGGCAGGAGGAGCGGGTCCTCTGGCTCCTGTAGCTGTAGCTCGAAGGAGTGGCCTATGCTGGCCGTGGTCAAGATGCTGCTCCTGGAGCCCACCGTGCAGATCTGGGCCCCTAGGACTCTAACACCGGCATCATCCCTATAGGAGGTGACTTGGCTTACCTGCATCCAGGCATAGTCTGTGTCCACACCGCCACTTCCCACAAAACTCTGTCCAAATTTTAAGCCTTTGGGAAAGAAAAATACTGTGAGTTTCCTAGTGGTAACTGAAGTGACTTGCATGTCTCCAGGTGCTGGACTCTGTGCCTGGTCATGTGGCAGGGAACACAGTGGGATTGGGAAGGCCCACGCAGGTGATGCAGGTGAAGAGTGACAGGCGGGGAGGTGGGACATCAGGGGTGTGAGGAGCTGAGAGGTGGGAGAGACATTGTTGGCTCCACGGGAGAAGCTGTGCCAGCACCCATTCCTGCCTCTCAGACCTTGACCGAGGGCGCACAGGCCCACATCAAAGGGCAGCTCCTTAACCTAGGCTCACTGTTTAGGTTACACAGGTGATGATTCACTTTCTCAGTCTCCTGCCAGGCTATGTTTGGGATTTTGTTCTCATTTGTAAGTCATTCTTCTAGAGAAAAACCAAAAAGGGGGCTCTGTGTGGTGGTGAATTCTGGGGACAGCGTCTCTGACCTGGGAGGCGTCCTAGCTGCCCTCTCCCCTGCAGCCATGTGCCCAGGGCTCCGGCTCAGGTGGCCGTGCTTCTGGAGCAGGGCTGCCTTTGGGGCCCGCACCCACGCTCGGGCCTCACACGCTGTCCACCTTGTCACCTCCTCAGTGTGGCTTTGCTGCCTGTGAGCTCTCCACAGTCGCATAGGTTCTGTCCTGTGTTATGGTGCAAAAATTATGCCCAACTTCCTGCTGATTGTGTCTGGATCCTATTTTGGGAAGTGGCTAGATCTGGGTTAGTTTCCCCACCCTGCACTTTTGCCGTGGCCACCTTTGCGCGGGCCGTGTTTTCTGGCGTATTTTTCATGACCTGTTGGCTCCAGTCCCATCCACCTTCCTCTCCTAGTCAGTGTTTTCAGTTTCATTTCCCTTGAATTAAGGGCTATTATGTTTTTTCAAATAGAAGCTCTTTAAGGGCAGGGAACAGTTTGGCTTTGTATTTGGAATATAGTTGCTCTACATCTTGTTTCCCGCCTGCCAAATGGGCTTCCTTTAAAAATGAAAATTCCAGACACTTCATGTATACTAGCTAAAAAATAATTGGGTTCCTATTTCCCTTTAAGATCTTAATGAGCTGAATCCCTGCAGTGCATTCCTAGCTCGTGGATGTCTCCTCTGGAGTTGCCTGGAGGTTTCTAACACTCTGTTTTCAGCCCTCCAGCCTTCCCTGCTCCTTGTACTGGTCAGAACCCAGCTTCCCACCCACACCCTGACGATGCAGAGCAGCAGGCTGCACTCCTGCTGGCATGCTCTGGGGACACCCTCCCCGCATCCCTGCCTCCCGTGAACATGCACGACCTCTTTGAAGCTTTGCAGGTAACTCTCAGCCCCCTCAGGGTTTCCTAGATTTGCGGGTGGGCTTGAAGTTTCCAAGTCTGCAAAGGAAGGTGCTCAGGAGCTCGCCCACTTCCTGGCCTTTTGTTTCTCAGATTGGATTGTTTGCTGGTAAAGCCATTCATCCCACTTTGTTTTGGGCCTGGAGTTCTTCCTAATTTCTTCCCCCTTCCCCCATCCCCACCTCCCCGAGAGAGGGAAAAGGGAAAAGACACTTGTTCTCTTACTCCTGTTTCAGAACCTCATTGCTTCGTTTTTCCGTTAGCTGGTTTGGGACTGATTAGCTTCTGGCTTCAGGTTTATAGGTTTGTGTGTCTTATGTGTGAGTGTTTTGTGTGGCTATAAACCTACATGTTGGAAAAGTCAGGAGCCTGAAGTGTAACTGGGACATGCTTGTGTTTGACCCAGGTACACAGGGAAGTCATCCCCACGCACACCGTGTACGCCCTCAACATTGAGAGAGTCATCACCAAGCTCTGGCATCCCAACCACGAGGAGCTGCAGCAGGACAAGGTGCACCGGCAGCGCCTGGCCGCCAAGGAGGGGCTCCTGCTCTGCTGAGTCACGCTCTGCTCTGCCGAGTCATGCCCGGCGGGGCGCAGCCACGGCACATGCATTGATGATTGAGAATTGAATGTCTTTGGGGTCCACACTTCAAGACTGAAGTGGATGGTGTAAATATAACCTTTCCTATGGAAATGTGATGTTGAGTGCATTTTGTGTTGCTACTGTGAAGCCATTAGTAGAGATTGACTTTGCGAGGGACCCACATCTGTGTGTGGCCATGTCCCCAGTAGGGTGGATGCTGATAAAACTGCCTGCGGTGGGAATGGTCAGGCCCCTGAGGTTCAGGATCCTGTGGTCTGCGTGTCAGGTAGGTGACATCCTAGAACAAAGACGCTGTTATAACTTCGCCCCTGTGATCTGTGTGCTCATTGACATTACATGCTCTGTATCCGGCAAGTCTAAAGTTTCCACCTTTCTCCTCAAAGAACTGTGCTCCTGGAATTTGGCTGAAGTAATGTACACAGTGTTAAGAATCCGATGCCTCCTTTAGTGACCAGTTTAATTTTTAACAGATACAGGCAGCACCCTAAAAATTCATTACAACTCCATAGGATGGCTCAGAAAGGCTGTGCTATTAGACAAAACACCACCAAAACAAAACTCTCAGAATGTAACTAATCAGCCTCATACAACATCTCATAACTCGTTTCCTTCATATAGTTAATGTGCCTGAAGACTTTGACAGGCTCATCTATTCATTGTTCCCATAGGATGTTTTAAGTTTATGTGAACATGTTGCATTGCTACTTGGTAATTCCCCAATGCCTATGAAATACCTGTTTCCTTTCAGATGATAAAGTGAAAGTAACTTATGTTGGGCAGTGTTACTGATCAGCAAGTTTTTTTAGAGACCTGTTGCTTTTTACTCAGCAGTGTTGGTGGGTATGCAGTTGACCCCTGAACAGTGTGGGTGTTAGGGGTGCTGACCCCTGACGCCATTAAAAATTTGCTTATAACTTATGACTCTTCAAAACTTAGCTGTCCCTCAGTATCTGCGGGGCATTGGTTCCAGGACTCCCACTGATACTAAACTCTGCGGATGCCCAAGTCCCCGATAGAATGTGGTGTAGATCAATGTCTGTGGACTCCCAACCGTGATCTTAAACAGTCCGGGCGTTTACTGAGGAAAATCCTTGTATACACGGCCTGCGCAGTTCAAACTTGTGTTGTTCAGGAATCGGCCGCATTAGAATGGGTTCTGTAGGTTTAGTAACATCTGTATAAATATGTACATATGGGTACCTGGCTCTGTGTATTTGATTTTGTACCTTAAATGTGACAAATAAACCTTTTGGGAGAAAACTGTTTGTTTATTAAACAGATAAGAAACACTGTTTTCTGCAGAAACACGAAAAGCCCTCAGCAAGACGTTTCAGAAGAATATTCTAGATGAGGAAGATTAAAAAGCAGGGTCCAACTAAGGTGTGCCCTTCTGTGATCTGTAGATTAAATAAGATTAAAAAGAAAATCAACAGCTGAGTTTCCGTTGCTGGCCCAGTCTTAAAAGCCCTGTAGACTTTCAGATGAGCTAATACTCAAGTTCTTAGGGTTTGGAGGAATTTGAGCCAATATCTAACCCAATGTGTGGTCTTGTTTTGGACTATGCGCACCTGGGCCTCGGTGCTGTGGATGAACTCGTTTTCACGTTCCATGGATGCAGAGGCAGCGGGGCCACGCCCCCGGCCCATCTCGAGCGCAGGTTACATCCAAGTCCAACAAGGACTCCTGTCCACTCTAGGACCTGCCTAAGTCTCTTTGCCTCCTGTTTGGGGCCCACTCTGAGGACAAGGTAGGGAGAATGATACTCAGGAGCCCCCAAAAGAGGTTTGAGCAGCTGGTGGCCCCTCTGCCAACTGGGTTCCTGAGTGCTTCTTACCAAACATTTAGAGCAGGGGTGGGGAGGCTTCTTTCTGCCAAAGGCCATTTGGATAGTTAAAACATCATTCTCGGGCCATACAAAATTATCAACTTAAAAATTAGCCCGGCCCTGGCTGGTTTGGCTCAGTGGTTAGAGTATTGGCCTGTGGACGGAAGGCTCTTGGGTTCGATTCCGGTTAAGGGCACATACCTCGGTTGCAGGCTCGATCCCTCCCGACCGGGGCGCATGCAGGAGGCAACCAATTGATGTGTCTCTGACATCGATGCCTCTCTCTCTCTCTCTGTAAAGCAATGGAAAAAATACCCTCCGGTGAGGATTAAAAAGAACGAGCCTGCTGTATTTGGCCAAACATTAACTCGCCCCTAACGTGATGGCTGGAGCTGCTGCCCTGGTGAGGCCTTGGCAGGGCCAGACCAAATGATTTCGGCCTGTGGGCCAGGCATTCCCACCTGATTTAGAGAAATACTTCAGTGAGGAAAATGAAACTGGGTAACTTCAGACTTAGGAAAAAGCTGCTTCCCCCCCCCCAGGAGCCTCCAGATCATCTTTTAGCGACAGGTTCACGTGCTGTATCCCTGGCCCCTAGGCAGCCCGAGGGGCTCAGCATTCTCACCATCCTGACCGCCCACCACTAGGATCAGCCAAGCTCAGCCCTTTTCTCGGTGTCCAGCACCCAGCACTGCAGCGGCCTCCAGGGGGCTTCAGTTACCTTCGGGTGGTCACTCTCTGACTACAGGCGAAGGCCTTGGACCAGCATACCCCAGGAGGTGAAATCAGGATAGGATGCTTGGTTATGGGGTCAGACAGATGCTGTGGCCAACAGATTGGTTCAGAATTTTTTACCTGATGGCTTAAAATGGGGAAAATGTCTAGATTATTCTTGGAAAATAAACTACTTATTTAATTGAATCTACGGGCAGTAAATTGTCAGGATGAATTTTTTTTAGTTTTTTGTATTGCGTTTTAGAGAGGAAGGGAGAGGAGAGAGAGAAACATCGCTGAGGAACATCAGTCAGCTGTCTCCTCCACTGGGGATCGAGGCTGCAACCTCTTGGTGCGGGGACAATGCTCAGCCCACTGAGCCACACCGGCCAGGCGTCAGGATGAATTTTACTAAACACGTACCACAGAAGGGCACATAGGTGGTTCATCATGCTTTCCTTTTTAAAGAAATTGATGGAAATGGGACACTTAAGTTTTCTCTTCCTCAGCCAGCTGACACGTCTTCACTCATTTAAAATCCATAGCCCTTTAGGGATCGCCTTCGTGATTCTGGTAGTGCACCCTTCCTCACAGCGCCCAAAGCAGGACTGACCAGGGGAAAGCTGCCTCTGCCGGCCCCTCCCCACACCAGTTTAAAACCACACACATCGTTTTCCTTCCCTCTGTCTGCAAAGACCCCCTACTGACCCCGCCATCCTGCGCACAGACCCTTCTCCATCCCAGGGTGTGATTCGTGAGTACAACGGACAGTGAGGAGTGGCTGACCCCCTGAGATGTGACTTTTCACAACAGCGACTTGTAAGTAAGAAATAAACCACCATGGCCTGTGGTCTTTACTATCAAAGTTTATTGTGGGGTCAGTTCCTACCTACTGGGGAGAACATCTATGTCTTAACGTGCCATCGGCCCTCCAGGGTGACAGCCGCTCCGCAGAGCAGCTGTCCCAGGGCTCTGTTAGGCGTAGTCATGAGTCAGCGAGTGGAAGCAGGAGCCTGGACAGACCCTGACGGTGGAACCAATGCTCTAGGAACGTCCCAGGGCCGCGCAGCCCGAAGGCACGGCCGAGCAGCACGATGAGGTGCGGGACTGGCGGAATGGGTCAGGAGCTGAGCCCACCTCCCCTCGTCTCTGCCAGGTAACTGTGGCTCCGATGCAGGATCCCAAATCAGGTTTATAAAGCCCTTTACTCGCCCAAAGCAAGTGACACAGGACAGCAAGAGGAAGAGCCAGGAACCAGCAAGGATAAATTAAGTGGAACTGGAGGGAATGGAAACTTCTGGAATGCGTAGCTGGGTTTAGACGCCACTTGAGATGAATGTGGTAGTTTGCCAACGGGGCAAACAATTCAAATATCGAAACTAATTCCGATACCAGAAATTAAGTGAAATTTCCCCTCTTGGAGGAAAACTGGTTTAAAAAAAGAGAAAGGTGTTTCCCCAATAGGAAAATGAATACCTGAGTAGAAATAGGTGCTTCGAGATGCCAAGAACAGCGTCACATACGAATGAGCAGGGTGTACAGGAAGAAGTGGGGGCCTGTCACCAGACTTGACATTGGAATGACATTTCTAGCAATGGCTTTGTCTGCCAGGTTCTGGCCCATTTTCTGTAGTGCAACAGCTCTGAAGGAATGTTTTCATAACCTCGACTTAGGTGGGAACACAAGTCACTAGTGTAAAAACTCCAGGACCTCCCACCTATCCCGCAGGGTGAAAGGAGACTAGAGTCTTGAAACAGCTGTGGCTACTTTACCACCACCCTTACGATAAAAATATTAATGAACAAAACAAACATCGGACGAGTCCATGAGCCTTGTACCATGTGGACAGCAGACGGCTTCCGCTGCCTCCTGCAGGCAGCCTGAGAAACAGCGTGTGCGCTGCGCTGCCCACCACTGAGGAGAATCACCATGAAAGGCAGGGGTGTTACGTGAGCCCCAGAGGAAGTCTAGCTGCCAACCTGACTGGGAAGATTAATAAGACAGCACAGTTTATTTTAACCTGTATCTTCCCCACTAACCTAGTTGTCTACAGAAAAGCCATCGGCTGGCACCAGGTCAGTATGTCTGAGTTTTGTTATCAGTACTATCTCCTTTTTCTAAAAGAGGAAATGTGTTAAGTACAAAAATGACATGTTCTACAATCTTCTCCACAGCTCTGACCTGCTGGGGACAGGCTCTACTCCTGGAAGCATTTTTAAAGGCAGAAGAAAACAATGACTTGAGGTTTCTCTCCCCAGAAAGGATGCCAGCAGAGTGGGGCCCGTGTGATGAGCCTCCTGTTGGTGTTGAGCAAACGGTCTCTTCTCCAGGAAATACCTTTGTTCATCCTATTTACAGGTTTCTTCTGGTGGACACATGAGTCATCTCTACAAGAACTGAGACAGAAGCAGTTTCTTTCCTAATCCTGTCTCTGATGAAATGAAGGGTCCTAGGCTTTTGTGACCCCCCGTAGGTGTGGGGGCGGGATGGGTTGTGTCTCGGGGCGGGATGCCCAGGCGCTGTCCAGACTGGCCGGTCCCAGCCCCACGCCCTTCCTGCTGCTCCCTGAGCGTCCACGCCTCCAGCAATCTCCTCGTGGGTTTTCCTCCCCAGCCGTTTCAAACACAGTCCCATTTGCTGGAAAAAAGAGAGAACCTAAGTGTGAATTCACCCTGGGCTTTTAGGTGGCATATAACTTTTAACAAGCATAATTATTCCATTAGTCAGATTTCCAAACAGACGATAAGGGGCTGTTCCAGGCCCAGTTGTCTCCTGGAGCTGCTGGAATCCCTGTCTATGGCTACGACTTCCTCAGCTCAGGAAAGGGCAGCTGCGAGGAGCGCCCGGCGCCCAGAGGAGCAGAGCTGGTGGGCGACGCTGACGTCAAAGGGACACAAGCGTCCCTCTGTTCCCTCTCTTCTGGCAGTTTTGGATCCAGTCCTTTCAGTGGCAGTGAGCTTAGAAAATTAAAAATGCAGAAAAATGTTCTCTAACAAGGAGAAGAAACAAAAGGTAAAATGAGAAAGGTATGAAACCTCACTGCCAGTCGCGGTCTGATGCGCAATGGCGGCAGTGAACTGTCGGGGGGTATGGGG